CAGTTAATATTGTTCATCAGATTTTTTTTTTAATTTCCTTGGTTTTTAGATTCACTTGTTGATAGTTACGTATTTGTTGTTCATAATTTTTATCTTTATTTACTTTCTCTTCTGAAAGAACCCCCTTCAGCAATTCATATATTGATAATTCTGGTTTGGTGGTGATGAACTCCTTTAGCTTTTTTTTATTAGTGAAGCTCTTTATCTGACCTTCGAATCTGAGTGATAGCTTTGCTGGATAGATTATCTTTGGCTGTAGGTTCTTGCTATTCATCACCTTGAATATTTCTTGCCATTCCCATCTGGCCTGCATGGTTTCTGTTGAGAAATCAGCTGACAATCGTATAGGTGCTCCTTTATAGGTAACTACCTTCTTTGCTCTTGCTTCTTTTAATATTCTCTCTTTGTCTTTTGCTCTTGGAATTTTAATTATGATTTGTCTTGGTGTGGTCCTCTTTGGATTCCTTTTGTTTTGAGTTCTGTGCACTTCCTGGGCTTGTAAGTCTAATTCTTTCATCAGGTGGGGGAAGTTTTCTGTCACTATTTCTTTCAGTATGTTTTCGATATCTTGCTCTCTCTCATCTTCTGGGACCCCCATAATTCTGATGTTGGTTCGCTTGAAGTTGTCCCAGAGGTTTCTTACATTATCTTCAACTTTCTGGATTCTCTGGCCTTCTTGCGTCTGCGGAGGAGTGTCTTCTGGCTCTTTATGTTCCAAATCTTTGACTTGATTCTTGAGATCTTCCATTCTGTTTTTAGGACTCCATAAAATATTATTTATTTCAGACAATGTATTCTTTATTTCTTGTTGACCCCTTATTATTTCTAGTTGATCCCTTTTCATATCCTCATAGGTCTTGTTTATTTTATCGGCCTTTTCTAGGAGATTCTTGAACAACCTTATAAGTGTGGTTTTGAACTCTATATCCAGTCGCTTTTTGTCCTCCATTTCTTTCGTTTGTGATCTATTTGTTTTAGGCATTTTCGCAGGCAGCTTTCCTGATGGGGCGGGGTTTCAGGGTGGAGCCTACAGCCTTGGCTTCAGTCAGCCCTGCCCTATGCGACTCCTGAGACTCAGGGTCCTTCAGTACTTGTTGCGAGCGCCTCTGAGAAAAAGGTGCCCTTGATTTTCGCCTGCTGCCAAACTGTCTATGCTCTCCCCCAATGAGTCCGGTATTGGGGTTCAGTTCAGTTGGTAGTGGGATTGGAGGTGGCGTTCAGAGCAGTCTGGAGCCCCTGTCTCCTTCCCGTCAGGGCAATCCCGCTGCACAGCCGGCCGGCCCTTCTCTGCGCACAGTGTGCGGTTTCTGGGACCTCCTTTTGCCGCTTCCCCGGAGTCCAGCCTTACAGCCTGGCTCCCTTTGGATGAGCCTGGGTCCCTGAGGTCTGGCCTAGAACGGGGGTTCAGAGCAGTTGGGGGCCCAGCACAGTCGGAGTGTTTATCTCCTTCCCGCTTGGGACCGCCAGTCAGGCACTCGGCCTCCCTCCTCTCTGGCTCTGTCCTCTCCGCGCACAGCGTGTCTCCGTACCTTGGGCTTTTACAGCTCCTCTGCGCTTCCTTCTGGTTTTCTCCTTGCTTCTTGTTGTAGAATTTCCAATCAGTCGACTTTCCTGTAGTTCTGGGTAATGTCCATTTTATATTTTAGTTGTATTTTATTGAAATTGTTGTGTGCGGCTGCGGCTAGTTGCCTACCCGGGCAGCCATCTTGGATTCTCTCAGATCTTCCCTTTAGATTTATGATATAACATAAATTAATAATATATATGTGCACACATATATGTATACAAATGTAACCTGAATAATCCTTTTGTTTGATTTCTGTTTTTGCAATAATGATGTTTTAAAATGTTTCTCAAAGATGAATAATGTTAGCTCTTGTGTTACGTACTATAACTTTTCTTTTAAATAATATTTGTGATAAATTTATCAATTTTTGAGGTTATTTATTTTTTAATGGGGTATCATTACAGAGGATAAAAAACTACCTATAAAACTAGCTTTGGCCAAATTTCAGGAATTGTAAATGAGTACAGAGGCGTAGTGGTAAAGCAGTCCTATTCAACACCCCCTCCCTGCACCTAACTCAGCAGCAGTACCTGTGGACAATACCCCCAGAATATTTCTATTCACAGGTGCTGGAGGGAGGCTTAAACTCAAATATCTGTCTATTGTTATGAGGTTAGCTTCACAGTTACCTGATTACCTCTCATCACCCATTTTTTTGGAGGTGGAAGTGACTTCTAAGAAAACCATTTTTCTCCAACTTCACTCTCCAAACTTTACATTCTTTACCTTGGCATATGACTTGGCAAACAACCACTAGTAACTTTTCTATCACTGTTCTAGAGCCCAAGAAAAGATCAAGGGAGTAAGAAAAGCAGGAGGGATCTTTGACAGAGACTCTGACCTAGAAAGACACATGGCAGAGAGAGGGGGAAAATAATTAGGAGAGAATGACTGAAATGATTCAGTTATGTGGCAGTTCTCTTTCCATTTCCCTTCATGTTTAAGGGGAAATGGCACCTGAGCATTTAATGTATGTTCCTTTGAGTTATGCTAGTCTTTTTTAACATCTCATGCCCTGTACCAAACCAAAATACCATTGTCTGACGTAAAATTATAGACTTATTGCTCACTGTAATAAGTCTATTTACATGCAAGTTTGCCTGCTTTGAAATGAGAATAAAGAAAACCAATAGAGAAAATTTATATAAATTTATTTATTTTAAGCAATCATAGTTTGAGATGAGTTTCTTTGAAGTTGCAAGTTGAAATTTTATTCTCTACATTATCCAGGTTTGCAGCTTACATCAAATAGTTTTTGAGCGTCACAATTCCCTTTGTACATTTATAGGCTCAATAAAAGTAATGACACTATATTGCTTTTAAAGTAGTTATCTTATTTTCTTATATATCTTTTTTGCATAAAATTTAAGTACAATAGAAGGAAAGGTTGATTATTTTGGCTATTTGATCCCTAAACTTATCCAATAAAAAAAAAAAGCTAAAGACCTGATTTATTATAAAATTTTGCAAAATTCAGCTAACAAGCTCACCCTTTTTCTTCCTTCATATTCTGTCAAAACGATTTAGAGAAATAAAAGTTTAAAAGAACAGTCAAAATATATGTCAAATGTCAATGAAAAGCAAATGCTAGAGGATATATCTCTTACCCAAGGATATATTTATTTTAATAAACTTTATTTTCTGATTAGTTTTCTCTTGAACACTGATAAAATACACAAAATCAACCTTCCGGGTTTTCTAACATTTGCTGTGACTATGTGGTTCAACCCATTAGCAAACAGGCAGCACGTAGCACGCCCACACTCCACTGGAGGAAGGAATCACAATTCCACAGTTTGGTTCCCAGCACTGCCTTGCAGGGCTGCTATCATAATGAGTTTCTGGCTCTTGACACATCGGCAGAAGTCTCTTATGTTGACTTCTCAAAGGGAAAGCAGTGAAACGCTAGCTGAAAGAACAATTATATCACTAATAACACAAAGGCTGGAGAATTGCTCCCAATACTCTCATGTAAGTGACTGGTAGTGTGTCTCTTTTCCCCTCAAATAATGATTTCTTTTTTCCCCCAGAAGACTGGTGCAGATTTGTACAAACTAGAACATAGGAAGAAAGAAACTGAGGTACTATGCATTACTTATTTAAAGCATTGTTTAACTAGTGTCTTAAAAACAAAACAAAAAACAACAACAACAACAAAAAAACAGAGGAAAATAAATGGCCAGTCCAAGAATTTACTCAGTCATAAATTTCTGCTACAAAACCTTTTTATGGATAAGGTATTTAGTTTTTTAGAAACCTGTGTTACTAAAAACTATTATGAAAATAAACCAGTTAAAGGACATAATCTTATCATATACAAGGGAATAAGGCATATTCAATTTATGTTGTGTTGGGAAAATAAGCCTCCACAAAATGGTTGAGCAACCAGAAGAGCCTAAAGTTACCTCATGTGCTACCCCAGTGCTCTGGAGACGTATGGCATCAGCCCCTCACTGGGTCTCCTTCCTACCAGGGGCAGTGTGACTCAGGAGAAACTGCACTGGCTCAACTAAATCTGCTAAACCTGGGGATGTGTTGCAGCCTCTCACTCCTCTGTGTCCCTGGATTACATTTCTGTGTCTTCCTATGGCAAGATTTTAAAAAGTGATACCAATATCTACCTTGCAAGGGCATTGTGAAGATCTGAGATAATGTATAGAAAATATTCACCATATTGGTCTTAAAAGTGTGGGAATTCAATAACTAGTAGCTATTCTTGTTCTTCCCTCTTTTATCTATTTTTTTTATTTATTTATTATTTTTTTGGTACACATCATGTGTGGCAAATACAGGGAGGGCCCAAAGTAGGTTTATAGTTGTGAGTGTGTGAAAAAGAGTTTATCTTTGTGTTATCATTTATTAATTATTGTATTATTTTTCATTTGAACATCTGTGAATCTACTTTTATCCCAATCTGCATATCTTATTTGTATTTGCATTTCCACTCCCATCCTCTTTCCACACCTCTGGAAAATACTGTTAACTGACTATGGCACTCTATTCTACTGTGTTTGGAGAGTCTTAGAATCTAATTACCTTTCATAACACAGCATCTCTCTCAGCCAATTTCTAAGAGATGCTGTGTTATGTACTCTTTTTGGTAGGTGTTACAATTTTCTGTACACATACATGCAAGATACGTGCTTTTTTTTTTTTTTTCATTGTGTCTCAATCCTGGCATTTAAATTTTTTTTCACTTTTTATGATTATAGATTTAAAAATTTCTTCTTATATAGTTTTTTGATGATTTATACTATTTATTAGGATAAGAGATTAAAGCAAAATGGACACATAAGATCAACATACAAACAATTATATTCTTTTCCTTTTTTTTTTTTTTTTGTCTGAGAGCCCTGAGCTCCCCAGGAGTCCCCAGCTAGCCTGTGCCTGTCCTCCTCCCTTCCACCACCAGGTAGCTGTCCCCTCTCACCAGCCAGCAGGAGCCCCTGCCAGGGGACAAGTCCTCTGTGGGCAGGGGCTGAAGGGGAATCCATGGTGTCTGCTGCCTGCTTTGTCCCTCCCTCTGTGGGAAGATCTTGGATTCCAAAAATGCTCACAAGCACTGCTGTCCTGGTGGTGGGATGTGCTGTTCCTCCTCTCTGTGCACTGAGCATCCTCCTGGGCCAAGATCACTTCCCTGGTCACATAGGCCAGAGGTGGAGTCTGTTCTCAGGTTCCTCCCTATTCTCTCTTTATTCATGCCTCCCCTTTTCTTTCCTCTACATTTTCTTTTTCTTTTTCTTCTTCTTTTTTTTATTTTTTTCAATTGATTTTTTATTTTTATTTATTTTTATTTTTATTTTTTTTAATAAATTTTTATTGTTTATATTATTACAAATGTTCCTTTTTCCCCCCTCCATTGCTCTCCTCCACCCCACCCTCTGCCCTTTCCCCACCTCCCATTGTCCTCATCCATAGGTGCACAGTTTATGTTCAGTCTCTTCCCACATCCCCCTCTCCCCTTTTCCCCAAGAATCATCAGTTCACTCCCCTTCCATACCTCTGATTCTATTATATACAACAGTTAATATTGTTCATCAGTTTGTGTTTTTTTTTAATTTCCTTGATTTTTAGATTCACTTGTTGATAGTTACATATTTGTTGTTCATAATTTTTATCTTTATTTACTTTCTCTTCTGAAAGAACCCCCTTCAGCAATTCATATAATTCTGGTTTGGTGGTGATGAACTTCTTTAGCTTATTTTTTATTAGTGAAGCTCTTTATCTGGCCTTCGATTCTGAGTGATAGCTTTGCCAGGTAGATTATCTTTGGCTGTAGGTTTTACTATTCATCACCTTGAATATTTCTTGCCATTCCTGTCTGGCCTGCATTTTCTGTTGAGAAATCAGCTGACAATTTATAGGTGCTCCTTTATAGGTAACTACCTGCTTTGCTCTTGCTGCTTTTAATATTCTCTCTTTGTCTTTTGCTCTTGGAATTTTAATTATGATTTGTCTTGGTGTGGTCCTCTTTGGATTCCTTTTGTTTTGAGTTCTGTGCACTTCCTGGACTTGTAAGTCTAATTCTTTCGCCAGATGGGGAAGTTTTCTGTCACTATTTCTTTCAGTATGTTTTCGATATCTTGCTCTCTCTCATCTTCTGGGACCCCCATAATTCTGATGTTGGATCGCCTGAAGTTGTCTCAGTGGTTTCTTACATTATCTTCAATTTTCTGGATTCTCTTGCCTTCTTGCTTCTGCGGAGAAGTGTCTTCTGGCTCTTTATGTTCCAAATCTTCGACTTGATTCTTGCGATCTTCCATTCTGTTTTTAGGACTCTGTATAATATTTTTTATTTCAGACAATGTATTCTTTATTTCTTGTTGATCCCTTATCAGTTCTTGTTGATTCCTTATTAATTCTAGTTGATCCCTTTTCATATCCTCATATGTCTTATCGACCTTTTCTAGGAAATTCTTGAAAAACCTTATAAGCATAGATTTGAACTCTATATCCAGTTACTTTCTGTCCTCCATTTCTTTCATTTGTGATCTAATACGCTGTCTCCGCATTTTCGCAGCTTCCCTGATGGGGCGGGGTTTCAGCGTGGAGCCTACAGCCTTGGCGTCCTTCAGCCCTGCCCTATGCGATTCCTGAGTCTCAGTAATCCCTAGGGTCCTTCAGTACTCACTGCAAACACCTCTGAGAGAAAGGTGCCCTTGGTTTTCACCTGTTACCAAACAGTCTAGGCTCTCCCCCAATGAGCCCAGAACTGGGGTTCAGTTCAGTTGGAAGTGGGATTGGAGGTGGTGTTCAGAGCAGTCTGGAGCTTTTATCTCCTTCCTGCCAGGGCAATCCCGCTGCACAGTCAACCGTCCCTTCTCTGCATGCAATGTGCACGCCTCCAGGACCTCCTTTTGCTGCTCCCTTGGGGTTCTGCCTTACAGCCCAGATCCCTATGGATGAGCCTGGGTCCCCAGGGTCTGGCCTAGTACTGGGGTTCAGAGCAGTTGGAACTGGGGCCCAGCACAGTCGGAACTTTTATCTCCTTCCTGCTAGGGTATGCCAGCCAGGCACTCAGCCGCCCCGCCCTTCCTCTCCGGCTCCGGCTCCGTCCTCTCCGCGCTCCGTGTGTCTCCGTACCTTAGGCTTTTACAGCTCCTCTGCTCTTCCTTCTGGTTTTCTCCTTGCTTCTCATTGTAGAATTTCCAGTCAGTCGACTTTCCTGTAGTTCTGGGTAATGTCCATTTTATATTTTAGTTGTATTTTATTGAAATTGTTGTGTGCGGCTGCGGCTAGGTGTTTACCTGTGCAGCCATCTTGGATTCTCCTGCTGCTTTTTTTAATTGTATTTACTTTATCAGGGTCACATTGGTTAAAAAAAATTATGTAGGCTTCAGTCATACAATTCTACAATACATCATCTGTATATTGTTCCCCATGTGTATTTTGTTTTATTTCTTCCATCACCATTTATCCCCTCTATGCCCTATTATACCTCCACCTTCCCCCCTCTCTCCCACCCCCACGTCACAATCACCGCACTTTTGTCCATGTTCATGAGTTCTCTCTCTCTCTCTCTCTCTCTCTCTCTCTCTCTCTCTCTCTCTCTCTCTCTCTCTCTCTGTCTTTCATAGCTTAATTTTGGGCAATGCTGAAAGAATAAAGTAAGTGGGAATTAATTTGTGCTATCAATGTTTTAAAAGTAATTTTCTTTGCAGTATGAAAAGGTGCCTAACTCTCACCTGGTTTGTCTCCACTTATTTCACAAAGAGATCAGAATCCAAATGGCAAAAAGTCCTCAACACTCTGTTCTTGCTTTCCTGTGCTTAGAAAGTCTAGAATCAAGTGTGCTTATAGGAACTGCCCCCATTAGGGAATGGGGAGTGCATGCCGTGTCCAGCACAAGGCCTTTGTTGCCTCAGAAAGGGTGATTACAGTTAGTTCCAACCCAAAGAAAAAGTACCCAAGACAGGAGGGGAGAGTGGTAACAGAGACAGAGGGAAAGAGCTAACAGAGACAGGAGGGAGAAAGGGAGCAAAGGAGGGAGAGGGGTAACAGAGAGCTGCAATAATTGCCTTCATTTTCCTGTTATCTTTTCTCAGTGTTATTGAAGACCACGATTGCTCTATGTAGACTAATGAGGTCTCTCTGCAAATACACCACTTCCTTAACTCTTGGTGAGAAGGGGACCAACAATTGTCACCAGTGTTGCTTTTCTTCAGTAAATATGCATTTTCTTTTAGTTGTTGTTGTAGATTTTGTTTTAAGACTGTGAAGCACTTCCATAAAAGATGTAAATTAACTATTATCTATCTATCATCTATCTATCATCTATCTATCATCTATCTGTCTATCTCTGTCTATCCATCTATCCATTTATTTATCTATTGATAGGAGTCCACATATTAATTGAATAGTGCACAAATCTCCCTTTGGGAAAGTAAAGAAAAATATTTAAATTTGGGTGTTCTCTTTTTTGATGCGGTAGGCAGGATTCTGAGATGGTCCTCAAAGTCCCTTTCTCCTGGAGTGTATGCTCTGTATTATCCCTCTCCTAGGTTTTGAAAGGGACCTATGAATAAAATGTATTTTACTCCTGTGATTGGGATATATTATATGACAACAGTGAAAGGATTTTGCAGGTGGACTTAAAGTTGGAAATCAGTTGGCTTTTATATAAATCATGAAGGACATTTTGCTGGGTGGACCTGACCTTTTAACGGTTGGGAGCCATTAAAAGAATCTGGGCCCTTCCTGAAGTTGAAGACATTTGAAGCAGCAGTGATGTTCCTGTGTTTGGCCTTGAAGAAGCAAATTGCCACCTTGTATATTATAGATTGCAACATGGAAAGAACAACCCTCTCTCTACTCCCCAGTACAAGATCAGATCATCTTGAGAATATAGTTTCTTATTTATAAGTAGAGGCCGGGTGCACAGGTATAGTCCCTAAGCCTAGCCTGCGATCAGGGCCATCTCACCACCACCCACACCAGATCCCCATTTGCCATCTGGCGATGGGAGCCTGGCACATGGGGGAGGGACTGAGAAGTCTGCATTGCTGCCTGCTGGCTGGCCCCACCCCCGCCATAGATTGCCCTCTATGTGTGGGGTGACCAGTGAGGTTGGGGCCTTGGCCTGGTGCTGCCGCATCTTCCAACACCCATCCCAGTTCCCATTTGCCATCAGCGATTGGAGCCTGCGGGACTGGGGGAGGGACCAAGAGGACAGCAATTCTGCCTGCTCGCTAGTCTCACCCCCACCATCACCCACTCCAGCCTGCTGGTCAGGAAAAGAAAGCGAGAGGTGGTCAGTGCACCTCAGAGTGACTGGTTGAGCAGTTGTTCTGGTCCTTCTGCCATTATGGTTGCTGGGTTTTTATGAGATAGAATCCTATCTCTCACTGAGCCTAATTTTGCATCTTATAACTAGATTTTCTACTTTTGTTTTTGTGGAAACAGAACTGAATTTTCTTTTATTGACATACATTAAAATAATGTATTCCAGGCCCAGTCCAGGTAGCTCAGTTGGTTAGAGCATTGTCTTGATATGCTAAGCTTGTGGGTTAGATCATTGTACAGGGCACATACAAGAATCAATCAATGAATACATTAATAAGTGAAATTGATCTCTCTCTCTCTCTCTCTCTCTCTCTCTCTCTCTCTCTCTCTCTCTCTCCTTTCCTGTTTCTCTAAAATTAATAAATTGAAAAAAATAATGCATTCTATTTCTAAAATGAAGTAGGGAGTTAAAAAAAGGAGTAGACATGTAGAGCTATTTAGTTAGAATCAGCTACTGTATACTAAGAACGTTTAATGCCCAACTTTTTAATTTACTGAAGTTTTATTTTAGTTAAATTCAATTTTCTCTTTTAACCTTTCCCCCCTTTTCTTCTTTCCCTTCATTTTTGCTATATATGTCTTCATGTAGACACAGCAAAGACTCTTTCTCTTTCATAGTGTTAAAGAATTCTTCTTCTACTGGATTTTTCCTAAAGTTAGACGAGTGATTTAGAATGAACTAAATTGGACTTGAATCCTTACGCATTTCAGAAAATGTCTGAGTTTTAAATTGCATACCTCTGTATGCATTAGTGAAATCTTGACTTACTTCCAGATTCTGCTTTGAGCAACAAAACACACCATGCTTAAAATTGAGCTCATTTGAAGAGCACTATAAGTCTGTATGAAATATGACTCAGATATCATTTTCTCTCAGAAATATCTC